TAAGGCTAATCCACTTTTGGAAAATGTACTACATGACTACAACAGCTCAACAAGACTAGTCCTCAACACAGGTCTTGTTTTTTGCCGCTTTGTCTTCATTCAATTCATTCATTCAAGTTCTGAATTTTGGAGAGTTAGATTAGTTTCTCTATATATTTTAGTTGATCCTGGTAAAAAAACAATCCAGTTCCAAAATTTTAAGTATTATGGAATTTATTTCTTATTTTTAATCCTTTATTTTCCACCCATGTTTAGTTGTATACACTAGATTGTAAAAAGCACTATATTGAATTGAATTTCTCATTGCTGCACTGAAGAGGTGCCTTGAGCAGCTCAGATTTGTAGATACATAAAGTTTGTAAAAAACTCGATCAGACATTAAATCTTTTTTTTTTTTTAATACGTTTTGTTGTTGTTGATTTGTCTGGTTCGTCTTAGGTCAGACTTTAAATGTTGACTACTCATACACAAACACCATAAAATCACAGGCTAGTTTCATTCACCAAACAAGCAAATGTCAAAACACAATTATACACTAATATCAATAATAAGATGTAAAATAAAGAAATAAAAACCATATTTATATAGCACAATTAAAAATGACCCTAGTTGACCAATGTGCCCCACAAAAACTCATTTAAAAATATAATTAGTAAAAAAAAAAAAAGCAGCACAGTGGGTTGCCAAGTCATCTCACAGCAAAAAGGCAGCTAGTTTGATCCTCGCCTGAATCATTGGCATTTCTGTGTGGAGTTTGCATGTTCTCCCCGTGTTGGCGTGGGTTTCCTCCAGGTGGTCCGTTTTCCCCTACAGTCCAAAGGACATGCAGTATAGGTGAATTGGGTAAGCTAATTTGGTCGTGAATGAGAGTGTATGGGTGTTTCCAAGTGACTGGTTGTGGCTAGAAGGCCGCAGCATCAGAGAAAGCTCCTACATTTTAGCCTACACTTGAGAATCAACAAAAGTCTCTGATTTGATGATCTGGTTGCATGGTGCTCGGTCAAAAGGGCAGAAGAAAGGTAAGATGTAGCTAAGATATTCAATAGCATCTCGATGCAGCTTTTATGACGCAAGCTGAGATTGCATCTCCCAGCAATGCAATGTCAGACACAATGCACTCAATGGAGCTAGTGATGTCACTGTGAGGGGTGGAGTTAGGTGAACCCATTAAAAAAATTGCATGCATTTCAGATTGCCTTTGCACCAGGCCTGCATCCAGACAAGCTGATTAATTATTTGTATGCAAGAAGTACATTTTTTAAAACCACTCTGTAGTGCACTGGCAACCAATGAAGTGAACGCAACACAGGCCAAAGATGACCCTATTTATGTGTATTTTGAATTTTAACCGAGACAGCTGAATGGTCAATCCCAATATAAAAAGATTTGCAGTAGTCCACTCTTGAAGAGATGAAGGCATGCATTACTTTTTCTAAATGAATAAAAACAGGCCAAGAGGTTATCCAAAATATTTAAATTTTATTTAATGGGAAGATACGTTTGTGTGTCATCATAACAATGCTCATACTGTCAGGCAGTATGTAAAGAGGAAACCGGATTGGGGCCAGATAGAGCCCTGAGGAACCACACTTAACTGAAAAACATCTATTGGACAGATTTACACCACTCCAGACCTGTAATGCAATGTTCCAACCATTCAATGAGAACAGTATGATACTGTTTCAAAAACAGCAGTTACAGTTTTTTTTTTTTTATTTGGTTTGGCGCAATTTTCTTTCTGTATTCCTCATCATTTATGCTATTTCAAATGTGGTAATACTTTAATTGGGCCATTCTTCAAGTACGGGCAGTTTACTTTAATTTCAAAATTAAAGTAACACAGCCTCATAAGTTTAAACAGTTTGTCTAGTTTTAAGATCTGTAAGAGGACAAACTTAGATAAGAGAAACATTTGTTTCCATCGTGAACTGAACAAATGTCAATTCCACCACATCTTAATATACAGCTTATTTCAAAACGAAATAAATTATAGCCGACAAACATTGTCTAAGATCATTTTTGTATCTAGTTTAACCAATCTTTCCACAATATATATATATAATAATCATCCATTTTTCGATGAAATTAATGAGTTGTATGCTGAATTGTACACCTGTCACACTCTTAAATTTAATATTTATTTGGTTAAGAGCTTATTAGAAAATAAACTGAATTTGTTTATTGAATAGAGCATGAACTCATACATTGTGAATACACTTTTAATGTTTGATGAGAACTTTTTAAGTATATATATTTTTTTTAAATGTGTGTGGTTATGAAAATGACATTTCTACAGTTTGTTAAAATGACATTTTTACAGTTTATTGTTAAGCTTTGAGTTGATACTAGCCTTTCATGTATACAAAACACTCTTACCTTAATTTTGTTTGGTTTTTAAAATCATCTTTGAAGGTCGGCTACAGCATGTTTGGAAATGACATAGAATAAATGATATTTCCTTTTCAAGCAATGTTTACCTTGATTTTTCTTCAAGTGTTGTTGATAAAAATTAAATTCCCTCCATCTTGAACGTTCTCAGATGACTTTATTTTCATAGAAACCACCTAAATAATCTTCCACACAAACATTTTAAAGTGACATTACAGTGTTGTGGTGGAAATGACACTGATACTGTGCGACAGCTATAATTTGTATAAAAAATGATATTGATAAAAGTCTCACATTAATAACTAAAATATTTAAATAATTTCACTAGTGCTTAATTAAGATACATGAATAGATACCAGATAAATAATATTTTAAAATGTTATTTTTATTGTAGAAGTTTAAAACTCTGGGTGTGTGATAAGGAAAACACCCAATTTTAGGCGATTTTGACACCTAAAAGGAGGTTGAAAAATAGAAATAGAAAAGTAGTACATTTTCTAAAAGTAGGTTTCATTGTTAGTTTGACAAAGAAAGAGGAATTTGAACAAAATTATATATATATATATATATATATATATATATATATATATATATATATATATATATATATATATATATATATATATATATATATATATATATATGATTAAAGGTCATAGAAGTGCCCGTAGTTGAAGAATTAACCAAATACGTATCTCCGTGTATATTATTCAGCCACAAGATGGCGGAAGTAGTAGGAAAGACCCGACAGAAAGCAGAAGACAGAGGTCTGTTTTAATTGAGTTTGAAAAATGACTAAACCTCATAGTTATTTTGAAAATGTTTTGCAATCCTTAGATTACTAAAACCAAAAGTCATGACAGCGGGTTGGAGAAATGTACAAACTGCCACATGACAAAATACTCAAGTAATTCATAGCCTAGTAAAACTGCACCATACTAAAGTGTATACTATAGTATTTACAACAGTTTGCTAATGAATGCTAAAGCTACTGTTTAATTAACAGCAGTAAACTGTGATGTAATTAGTAATTGTAGTTAATACTGATAGTTGTAGCAAGCCTTTACAGTATTGTGGGTTTATTAGTATCACTATAGAATTACAACACCAGAATAATTCAAATGTTGAATATCCGTCTTTCGGATGAGATGTTAAACCGAGGTCCTGACTCTCTGTGGTCATTAAAAATCCCATGGCACTTCTCGTGAAAGAGCAGAGGTGTAACCCTGGTGTCCTGGCCAAAGTCCCTCTATCGGCTCTTACAATCATGGCCTCCCAATCATCCCCTTCCACTGAATTGGCTCTATCACTGTCTCTCCACTCCACCAATAGCTGGTGTGTGCTGAGCGCACTGGCGCCGTTGTCCTGTGGCAGCCGTCGCATCATCCAAGTGGATGCTGCACACTGGTGGTGGTGTGGAGAAACCCCGCTCATGATTGTGAAGCGCTTTTGGTGGATGGCCATACACAATACATGTGCAATATAAAATACACACATTACATTACATTACATTACATTACAAGTACTAAACCTAGTCTCCTGGTGCTCCGGTTTCCCCCACAGTCCAAAGACATGCGGTACAGGTAAACTGGGTAGGCAAAAAATTGTCCATAGTGTATGTGTGTGAATAACACTCTCTGGGATGTTGCGGCTGGAAGGGCATCCGCTGCATAAAATGGTGCTGGATAAGTTGGCGGTTCACTCCGCTGTGGGGACCCCCGGATTAATAAAGGGACTAAGCCGAGAAGAAAATGAGCAAACCAATTAATTAATGAATGAATAATAGTAAGTAGAAGAGGAAAGAGAGGAAAAAAAGAAGAGAAAAAAACAGAAGGAAGGGGAGGAGTAGAAGAAAAAAAGGAAGTTGAAAAATAAAGTGCAGCAAACAAAAACAATGAGAATAATAAGGAAGAAAAAAAAACTTTATTGTTATAATGTTAATATACAAATCATACAAACCCAAAGTAAAGAATAATATTAAAAAGAAGAATTTAACTAACAGTATGATGAATTATTAATAACGTGATAACTATAATATACTCATGCTGGCAATAATAATAATAATAAAATAATAATAATAATAAAATAACAACAACAACAACAATAATAATAATAAAATAATAATAATGATAATAATAATAATAATAAAATAATAATAATGATAATAATAATAGTAAGAATAATAATAAAAATAACAGTAATAATAATAATGATAATAATAATAATAATAATAATAATAATAATAATAATAATAATAATAATAAAATACCAACTGCTTCAACAATAATTTGAGGAGGTGAAAGTGATTGATAAAAGTTGAGATGACTAGAAAAGTTCATTTGATTCAGCTAAAAAATTTAAGGCATCATATAATGTTTTTTTCTAACTATGAAAGTCAATAGTTTAAGGTCTTCAACCGAACTTCTTTTGTCTTCAACCAAAGAATGAAACTCATAAAGGTTTGAAACAGAAACAGTAAGTTTTGTCTCTTGTCTAAACGTAAACGGTATGAGTTTACAAAAACGTCAGTCCATGTTTTACTTGTCAAACAAATGTGCAAATAAAATAATAATAATAATACTCTATATACAAGTAAAATGATCAGTAAACTGTTTTTTTTTTCATGGTACTTTAATCTTAATGTTGTGTTGCTTGTGCAGGACGTCCAGTATCTGAGGCAGAATGTCCATGTTGAGTAAAGGCTTGTCCATGTCATCGGTTCCTGACCCAATACTGTACCTCATCCTCATTCTGTGTTTGGGTTTGCGCGATCGAAGAGATTCCACCTCAAATCCAGTGTGTCTCTCATCAATTCCCAGAATGAAGGTGGAGTTTCTTGCTAGCTGCACACACCACAGCAGCAAACCGATGAGAATGCAAAGCAGAGAGCATAAGATGGCATTATAAGCCAATCCAGAGCATTGATCAGAAGCACAGGAAGGGAGATCAGCATCGGTCAGCTCATCGATGGACTTTTGGGCAAGTTCTGGAGGACTGGCACACGTTGGCATCACAGACACTGCTTTATTCATCTTCAGCCATTGTCTTAAGTACAGGATACGGCAGTCACAGTGGAAAGGGTTCCCGGATAAATTAACCAGCCTGAGGTTGTGGAGCATGTCTAGTTGTCCTGGAGTAATGGTGGTCAGCAGGTTATTCTGCAGCAGCAGCTCTGTGGTGCGGGCAGGAAGGTGAGGAATGTTCCTCAGGCCCTGCAAGCTGCAGTTTACATGCACACCTTTAGAGGGCAAAGTCACGCACCTGCAGGAGTCACAGCCGACATGTGCAAAGACGGAGCACAGGAGAAGAGTAAAGAGCATCCTGCTGGGGAGAAAACCATGAAATGTTTATTCATATGTCTGGCTATATATGCAGCCAGCATACATACACAAGTAGACTGATTAAAGGTTATTTATTAGCTACAGTTAAAGTCAGAATTATTAGCCCCCCTGAATTATTCGCCTCCTTGTTTAATTTTTTCCCCAATTTCTGTTTAACGAAGAGAAGATTTCTTCAACACATTTCTAGACATAAAAGTTTTGATGACTCAACTCTAATAACTGATTTATTTCATCTTTGCCATGATGACAGTAAATAATATTAGACTAGATATTTTTCGAGACGCTTCTATACAGCTTAAAGTGACATTTAAAGGCTTAACTAGGTTAATTAGGTTAACTAGGCAGGTTAGGGTAATTAGGCAAGTTATTATATAATGATGGTTTGTTCTGTTTACTAGTGAAATAAAATATAGCTTTAAGTGGCTAATAATTTTGTCCCTAAAATCGTTTTTAAAAAATTAAAAACTGTTTTTATTCTTGCCGAAATAACACAAATAAGACTTTCTTTAGAAGAAAAAATATTATCAGACATACTGTGAAAATTTCCTTGCTCTGTTAAACATCATTTGGGAAATATTTAAAAAAGAAAAAAAAAATTCAAAGGGGGCTAATAATTCTGACTTCAACTGTATATAGAAACAGGAAATATGGATAAAATCTAAAGCTAATTTCAAAGAACAAGAAAAAAACCTAAATAACAGACTGAGGCTGAATTTCAAGCTGAAATGTAACACAAGAACATGTTTTTTATTCCCTGCAGTACTTTTTTTTAAAGGATGTACATGCAGCAGTGCTAGAAGGCACTGACAAAAATATTCATTGGATTTACTCATTTTTTAAGGTAAGTGGTTGCAAACAGTTTATATGGGCTAAATGTAAACAAAAGAAATTTAGTGATGTAGAATTTAACTTGTTTGTTTAAATTCAGCCCATATACATTGTTTGCCTGCTGTGGTGTCTGCAGCTAGCAAGAAACTCCACCTTCATTCTGTCTCGCTACAATCCAACCTGCTCTTTAAGATCTCAAAACTCAGGGCTTCTGGTAGCTCCTAGAATAATAAAGTCGAGTAAAGGAGGTCTAGCTTTCTCGGTTATGGCTCCTAAACTCTGGAATAGCCTTCCTAATAACGTCCGAGGCTCAGACACACTCTCAAAGTTCAAAACTAGATTAAAGACCTATCTGTTAAGTAAAGCATACACTTAGTTCGTTTCCACACAGGTTTCTGCATCTATTTTATATACACTATGAACAGCAGCTACGCTAATTATTCTCTTTATTCTCCATTTCCACCTGGAGATACTCATCCCGAGGTACTCAGACTATCCAGAGTCACTGATTCGATCCAAGAACAGAGACGAGATGATCCCAAGGTTTCCATATCCTGGACCAGGCCGTATCCTGAGCAGCTGCTGGGGTGGTCATGGAGGAGTGGAGAGCATGAGACTGATTCCTGTGACGCTCCAGGGACAGACAAGTCTTCGCTGAGGCCATCTTCCAGCCTCCGCCTGCTCTGCACAAGATTGGCCAGCGGAGAAATTAAAACGGTCGCACCCAACTGAGTCTGGTTTCTCTCAAGTTTTTTTTTTTCTTCACTTTCGCCAATTAGTAAAGTTTTTTTCCCTCTCCGCTGTCGCCACTAGCTTGCATAGTTTGGGATCGGTAGAGCTATGCATCGATGGATTTGCTCTCCAGTGTTTAGACCCTCAGTAGTGATTAATGAACCACACTGAACTGAGCTGAACTGAACTTAAACACTAAAAACTGAACTACACTGTTCCAATTTACTATGACCATTTATGTTTAGCTGCTTTGACACAATCTACATTGTAAAAGCACTGTACAAATAAAGCTGAATAGAATTGAATTTGCAACTACTCACCTTAAGAAATTAATAAATCCAATGAATGTTTTTTTTCCCAGTCTACAGTCACAATTAAATCACATTAAGATGTTTGTTGAATAAATGTAAGACTTACCTTTTAGTCAGCAACTGGAAATATGAAACATTTATCCCGGTTCTTGAAATTCTGAAATAACTACTACTGGCACTGTGAACTGAAAACGTTTTTGTATGTCTGATAGTTTGTTTTGACCAATCAAGCTTTAGGCACACTGCAGGTCATGTGATCATCGTGGGCTGACCTGATAACGTTATCTGTCAAGAGCACATTTTAAATGTCCTGCCTGCTTAAAGAGCTGTACACTTACATCTGTAGAGATGAGTTCTGCTGTAAAACATGCTGGTTCCACACAATCGATTTGTGTCAGGACAACATGAAGGAATTAAGTTAACTTCTTAATTTGTACAAATTTGAGTGAACATGAAACAATTAATTAAAAATTAATTTTCGGCTCATTTTAAACAAGTAGTTTGAACTAGGGCTGTCAAATGATTAAAAAAAATAATTAATCACACTTTTTTGTAATTAATCATGACTTATTACAGAAATAAAAACACAGGGATATAAGTGCCATTTGAATTTCAAAACAACGTCAATAACAAAATTAATTTCCATGTTGGACTCCAAATGGACTACAAAAAAACCCAAAATACATGCATTGCAAATATGGAAGATGGAAAATTATCATAATAAGAATAAAGTATTGAATACAAACAATTGTACTCATTTAAAAGTTGTATTGTGAGTTGAGAACATTAATTATAAAGTAGAAACAATTTTGCTTAGTCCTCCTTAACATTTAGCCAGTTGCTAAGACAGTCCAGTTTGTTGACATTATAGGGGGACAATGTGACCAAGGGGTACATCAAAGGCAAAGACTATAGACTTCTTACAGTGGCTTTGGTCACACCATCTCTAAACATTTTATTCTAAACAGCTTTGAGGGATACAGACACCGCAGAGACTATAGAATACATATCAAATGCTTTAAGGAGACGATGGACAGTCAGTGATGTCAGGCGGTTGATCTTGTTGCTAGGAAACACACAAACACAATGCAGTACAGCACACCCGGTGAGCGAAGGATCTCTTCAGATTCATCAACACGCACATTTGCGTTTATCAAACTTGCTTAAACTTAGCGTTCTAAAGTATGGCTGTATTTAACAAGCAAAGATTCTGACAGCAACGTGAAGCAAACGCTTTACAAAAGTTGCGTGTAGCGGGGAAATACGTCAAACTTAATGAAACATTTGAGGGCGCATGGAATCAACTGAAAGGAAGAGAAATGGACTGTCTTTGACAGCTTGAGACATCATCTGGCACTTTCACTAAGCACATTTACATGGGCACCAATACTCCGCTTTTACGATTCAGATAATACTGATTAAGAATCTACCATGTAAGCAGCGATTTTTTGATTACCTTAAACAGGGGTGGACTGGGACTAAAAATCAGCCCTGGCACTGTAGCCACACCAGCCCACATTACCGACACAGCCCCATACATACACTACGGACAATTAGGGCTACCCAATTCACCTATAGCACATGTGTTTGGACTTGTGTGGGAAACCGGAAGGAAACCCATGCGAACATGCAAACTCCACACAGAAACACCAACTGACCCAGCAGAGGTTCGAACCATTGACCTTCGTGTTGTTGACAGTGTCCTTTCAAGATTATTTCAGTTAATTTTATGCATTTGGCAGCATCTGATTTTAGAGCAATTTTTGGCTTTCTCAGGGCTTTTCGGCACCGCCTTTTCTTTTTTTTAACGGTCCATCTCTGACAATTAGTTTGTGTTGCACTTACTGTTTGCTGGAAATTCTTGCCAGATTTTGATTACGTCCATGTAACCTCTGATTGGGTCGGCCCATCTCGAAACCAGTGGGCCATTGCCGATTGGGCCAATGCTTAATATTTACTATTATTATTACTATCATCATCATCATCATCATAATATTCACATCTTACAAGAAATAAAAGCTGCCTGCATGTAAAAACAATACATATATGTATAAAAAAAAATGTTATTTAAAAAATAGCATACCAGTCCACATTTAAAAAATGGGCCGGCCCTTCTGGCATTTGCCAGAATTGCCAGGTGGCCAGTCCGCCCCTGACCTTAAAGGATCACCCGAATCTTGAAATGCGAAGGCTTTTCTTTCCGTTCGCCGGGGCATGAATAATATGTTGCTGAATGAAAGTAATCTTAAAAATTAAGACACCCGAAATTGCATGAAACTCTTGAGGAAATGCTGGATAGGCTGGTAATGCAACATTAAGTGTTTTATACTGAAACTTCCTTTTTAAAAGTGCTTCTCCTTTTTTCTTCACTCTCGCATTTGTCAGTATCTGACAGGATCGGGTTTCAAAAGCACGTCAATAATCAAGCGCACGTTATTATCATCAGCTCAAGAAGTTTGTTATTTTAAATGTAGACGCGCGGCGAGCGCAAGCAAAAAAGCAAAACCGCTCGCGCCTCAGATTGGCTTGTAAAAAAACTACGGGGTACATGGTAAATCTGCTCTTCTTCTTGGCATTCCCTAGTAGCAAAGAATTCTGGCCCAGATTTGGCATAAAGCTGGCACAGCCGGCATTCATCCGGCACTGGCATACAGCATGTGGGCCAAACATGGCCCAGGTTTGGCAGAGATGGCACCATCTTTAATGCGGCACACAAGATTTGGGCCAGATGAAAAACATAGTATTTGGCCCAGATTTAAAAATTTGATAAGTGGGCCATGTGAGTTTGGCCAGTCTTGACCCACATTTAAAATACACTAAAATCATTTTTGAGTAAAGAAAAAAAATTCTACCAATCAGGTCACTTTGAGAAAAAGCGTGCCCATAGTGTGCCTAAAGCGCATCACTCCATGGGTTTATCAATTTCATTGCAATCGTGACACACCAACCTATCTGGCCCAGTTCAGGCCCAGTTATGAGTTATTAACTTGGCTGAGACTTGGCCCAGATATGGTGCGTGTTTGGCCCTTGTCTGGAAGCCAGATTTGGTCCAGTCATGTACCGTAATTCACTGCGGCATGTGGGCCAAGCAAAACCTGATTGTGTGGGCCAGAGCTGGGCCAGACAAATTTTGCTATGTGGGTTGTGGCTGTTTATCAAGACGACGACAAGGTTTGTTTGAAGACGAATCGACCATGGCTGGTTATTATATGTATATATAATTTCGCTGTAATCTCTCACTGTGTATTTCAAATATGGCGGGTTTTTGTTTTCATCCTGGCTTGTTGCGTAAGTGAATGACGTATCTCTGTAAACCAATGGCATTCAGCTGCGCGTCTAGCTCCACCTTTCGGCACCCTTTCTCGTGTGTGGTACCCTTTCAAAAGGGTGCCGAAAATGTTGTACGGTACTGTTTGGTACAACTTTTGACAGTGGAAACAGCCATAATAGCGTACCAAACCGTACCCTACCTCTCAATAGAAACAAGCCATTAATAGATTTGTGTTGCGACAACATGAAGGAAGTGTGTGGAACTCAGAGTTTTTCCCTAGTGTATTTCTATGAAATTTGTCCACATAAAATGCAATCCCAAGTGAAAACATACATTAAAAATCACAACTGCGTATTGTCATATATTCCTTTTATTTTATGTTCTGAATGCCGTCACAGTTTGTTTTACATTGACTGTACACTGACGTAGATAACCATTACGTAAAATAAAATCTCAAATTACAAGCATTCTCTGCTCTACAACAACAACAACAAAAATAAAACAATGCCCTTTTCTATTTCCCATTTCTCAAAGTGTGGACAGTGAAATAGCAGCCTGTGAGGAGACAAACATACAGACGGAAAAAATGGCAACAGTCTGTTTTCAGTAGATACACACAGTAAAACAGACGGGAACACACCTCTCATTTAAAGACAGATGTCAAAATATGCAGGATACTGTACACACTATTTACACTTCCAAATTTGGTCCCCTAATATTACTCGTCAAAAATGTGTGTTTATCATCTTTACATGGGCTAATAATGGGATGTGGTAGCTTTACGCCGGATGATTTGAATCGGCTTTCAACACAAACACAACAGGTCAGAAAGATGAAATGCTGTGTAGAGATATACAAGCAAAAGGGCAGAAAAAAACACACGTATACAGAGAAACACAGGCGTTTATCAGCTTATGGTGGTCAAGAAAATGCATTTGATCCTTCAGTGCAGTGTTGGGGTATATTTTCTGCCAGAATATCTTCTAAGTTATGCAGAAACAGAAATCTTTGGAAAGTGTTTGTAAAATAAATAGCTTTTTAAATATATAAAGTCAACATGAAACGATATTCACAAATCCGTTTGACCTAATCTAGAATAGAGCTAATCTAGAAGGTAGATATGGTTACTTTTGGTTTCACGTTGACTTTATTACACCAGAATCCATATTGCACTCCATATATTGTGATATGTTAAACGGAAAACCTAAAGCTTTGGTTTGGGGTCACGAAAACATCTGAAATCAAGATTACACATAAGATTCTTCTAGTTTTCAGCTAATAAATGAGATCAGAATGCATCTTTACAACAATCATCGTTTTCATCTGCCTCATTTCTAGACATACATTCCTCTAAACATACGGATGCTTGCATAATATTGCAGTAAAATTCACCTGAAACAATCTCCTGGTTAAGAGTTCCAAAAAACAAAAAAAAAAAAGAAGAAGAAGAGTATATCTTACATGATTGCACTTCGTTTCCATGGTAACACTGGTTTATTATTAATAATAAATAAACACCCAAGAACAACATCGATAACAAGTCACAGTCAAAGCCTAGCCGATCACTATGACATTCCATTCAATGTAAAAACACTTAGATGAGAATCTCTACGCCACTATATGAAGTAATAGTAAAGATGCTTTAGCCATGATCATCATGACAAACATATTGCACTTATAAAGAAACCATAACAATCCTTAGTAGATAAAAAAATAATTCAGTTATTCCCCGGCCCTCGGAAATCCTGTGCTTATCTCCAAAGGAAAATCAACATATGAAATTAAAAATGCTATTTAAAATAAAAACTCCGGCTGAAAGCATGCAAATCTCCCTAAAATCTGCACTGTGTATTATTCATGTGACTGTAGTGGAGCAGCTTAAAGTGTCACATGATACTGCATTTGTGCTTCGAAATGACCTGATCTCAGATCCCAACGGAAGGTTTCTAGTAGCT